AAAACTTGTGAACTTTTAAATTTGAATAAATGTAAAAACTAGCATATATCAAACATTGGAAATTTGGATAAAAATCATCTTGTATGTAAAGCGGAAAACTCATAACAAGGTTCAAAACATTCAATACACTTAGTGCATTGGAGAAAAGAGATATTTGAATCGTGTTATTGCTTTGTGACTATTTTGGTAAATGAGCCGACGATCCATTTTTTTTTTTCGTGTTAATTCTTTTTGAATTATAGAATTGACTAAAATTAATGATATCTCCTTTAGCTGAATTTTGTTTATAACGTTAAAGACCTTCAATTGTGAATGTATGATGTAACGTCAAAATCAATTTTGATTGAATAAACACGTTCTTTAATATGAGATTATTTCCTCATAACTCCACTTGCACTTGTAACATTCTTTTTTTATAACGCTTTAATTTTTATTGAGAATCAGAAGAAACAAAGGGTATTAAGGAACTCAAACTTAAAAACTACGGAGAAAACAAAAGTTCCCAAAAGAATATAAGAACAAGATCAGGATACAAGTCGCACCATACACCAATTTAATGAGCAAATAGCTCTCTAACACGGAGAAAATCGAGGGCTTCCAATCAAGCCGAAAGATGAAATTGCAGGAGGATAAGATCGAGACATAAGGAGAACCTATGCTTCCGTTGCTTCTGCCGTGATAATCCGATGAAGCCAGTTCAGACCATTTCTAGCAATATAAGACTGCTAACGACTGTCTTTGATTACACTCTCCGCAATCGCAAAGGCAACTTGATTACCAGAATCAGAAGTGTGCTTCAAACTTGACCAGTTAAACAACACAAGAAGGAAACCAATGTGATCTAACAGTCCACTAACTTGAGGGAAACGATTTGGATGTAACAAAGCTTCTCTAGCTTGAGAAAGTTAGCTTCAAAGATAATCCGAGTGAGCTTGAGATCTCTTAGGGATTTAATCGACCAAATAAGACTCATCAATTCTGTTTCTAAAGTAGAAGATAGCGCAACATATGATTTTCAACTATGGAACAAGACCTTGCCTATATGATCTCTTACAATTAGGGTCATGCCTATGTGGAGGAATTAGAGGCCATCGCCTCCGGCCTTTTTTGTGGGAAAAAAATACGACCGGCCTTTTTTCTGAAAAAATCAAGGCTTTTAATTTTTTTAATAAATTAATATTAGAGTAGGTCATGCTATCTTTCTAAAAAAAATTTGAAAACAAGTTATTAATTAAAATGGTAAACTAAAACAAATCATTAGGCTAATTAACGAGTCTTAACCACATTTATCTTCTTCTAACTTTGGCCAATTCACAGGTAATTTTTTTATATTATAGTTTTGTTATTATGAATTTTTATGTATAATTAGGAGATTTTGCGATTGTATACTGTAGTACCATTATTAGAAAGGTTTTATGCATAATCTTTTATAAAATGATGCATAACATGATTATTTATGAAATTTTATTTTATACAAATTAAAGCTTTTTTGTTTTGTTTTGTTTCTACCTATATAACTATAGGAACGGCTCTGCTTA